CATATTCAGTGGGTTTTAAATTCACGGTTTCGTCATTTAGATAATGTGTTCTATGCTAAATTTTACATATTCACTGTGTTTTAATTTAGCGCATTTTTCCAGTCAGCGAAATAAGCTAAATTAAAACCCAGTGAATAATTACCCCCTTTACAGTATGCAGACTTTTTAATGGCAATGACTGAATAAGCAGATTGCTCCTTCTTGATTATAAGGGTACAAATCAGAGATCTCTTCAATCACTTTCACTTTTCTTTGTGACATTAGGACATAGGAGTGTATTAATGTGTCACAGAACCTGAATACAAACAGTTGACGTTTGTACTGCTTTTGTGTATGTTATCCATGAGCTGTTTGTTAAAGTGAACCTAAATGCGGCCGTAATTTATAGTTGTGTATATTCTAAACTGTATTCGAAATAATATTGCAGTGGTTTAATTTTCTTTCAATTATAACTGTAGCTTAGAAAGACATTCGTAGTGCTTGCAATTAAACACCATGGAGGCCATGACGTTTTAGTATCTGATCACATTCGTATACGCCATTGTACATAGCCGTTCATGCTGCCAAGCATTTAATACTACTAGTATAAACTCGACTTTTATATGCACAATGTGCTTTTTAGAACATTGTGCGTTTGAACCACAGTATTCTGACAGCCCATTTGCGTTAAAGTACCGTACTTCCCCAATCGTAAGCCCCTCCCGAGTATGAAGCCCATCCCTCTAATTTTAGGCATTTATTGAGTTGAGGGCATTCACGACCCAGCCCAGAGTGTTTTTTTTACAGGGCGTCGACGATATTCTTTAAAATATGCCTGTAAAAATTGTGTTTCATTTCATAATACATGTAATCATGATTGGTACGGTAGTCTGATTACTGATTTGCCAATATTCTACTTTTAAATTCAGCAAATTAAATTTTTTGGTCCAAGGGAAAAACCTACTCTGGCTGACAAGAAAGTTTAAAATTGACATAAGCATTATATGTCAATTATTTGATTATAAATGGTCATCAAAAAAAAAAATAAGATGTTTGTGTTTATAGTTAGAAGCACGTTATAGGCTCATGGAAATCACAACATGTTGGATGCTGCAGTGTACACATTAAAAAATAACTATAAAATGTCATGACTCAGTTGGCTTACAAATTCTCAATTAGAAAACCCAACTTACTTGAATTGTATATTTTATGTTGGTATTATACATATAAACATCTTAATTCTTGTAATGGATATATTTCGAAGCTTTGGTTTCAAAATGACATTCACTTTTGAAGTCAAAATAAAAAAAAAAATCTGTTTTTGAGGTCAATTAGCTGTTGACCCCACTTTGGTTTATTTTTGGCTGCTATGCAACAATTGTAATTTCAGTTCTATGCATTCACTGTTCTCTGTTGGTAGCATGTAATTTATTACTTAAGTCAACTGGTGTGAAGCGTCTATGATCACTGTATTGTAATATGACAGTTTGTAATGTGTGGCATAATGGTTAGTGTGTTCACTCACAATCAGGGAGATTCAGATTACAACTCCAATAGTTGGCTGCCCACTCAATGTGTGAAAAAACTAGAGAATATTCTGTCCACTATCGGACTTACACCATTCATAGTTGTGAGACTAGTGCCCATGCAGTCCGGGAAGATGTAATATTGTCTGTTTCTTCGCTGTTCCTTTTCCTAGTACACATAAATATTCACAGTAACCTTGACAATGCCAGTAATTGACTACTGTAAATGCATTTATTATTCACTGGGTTTTAATTTTGCTATTTTTGCTAATTAAATTAAATTCATTGAACATGTAAAATATCAATTTCCTTGTCAAATTTGTGAATTTAAAACACAGTAAATATGCTCACAATATTTAAATAATGATTGGAAATTAAATGCCCGTGAAAATTATTGGTTTGCAGTATGATACCTTGACCTGTAAATGGAACTTACAAAAACAAAAACATTTTGTGTTGCAGAATTCCAATTTGTTAAGTTTATTCTTTTGCGTGGTACTCATACACCATGCAGGTCTACTCTCTCTGTCCCTCACTTCTCACATGATCTCTGAAGATACCCAAAATTTGACTCGGGTGGGGGTGGGGGGTCAACCTCACGTGCGACAAAGACGATCACGGTCACATTGACAACAGTACCAAAAATTTGATTGTGTCAACCTGGTTTCACCCAAAATTTCATATAAATGTATAAAGTTACATAAATGATTAAATCCATTTCTGACACTTCCATATGTTTTGTTGATCCACAACTAACTTATTCAGAATATGATTATAAACCCTGTGACATCAGTGTGGTATTTACCAGTACTGTTATTCTGTCATGCCCCAAACATGTAATACCGTTAGTTTGCATTACTGTATCTGCTCAATTTGCAGAACATAGCTTAATATGTAAATAACGTAGATGCATCTATCGTCAAAATATGTGGCATTTTAATAATTCGGTGTATCATAATAAATGCAATATTCTTTTCATTTTATTTCACCTGTGCAATACATGTTTAAAAATGTTACATTTAGAGACAATTCTACTCCATATGTTGTAGGCAGCACACAGCACTATCTGGTTGTCAATGTATTTAAATATTTGTATTGTGTTTGTAATCCAATTTATGATATTTTTCTTTTGACAGTATTTCTGTGACCGTATCCAGCAGTTAGTACAGTGTAAACATATGCATATGTTAAGATGGAAAAGATTCTGTACTCATACTAGCACTTTAGAAGCTTTATATCCACTCTACCAAACCAGACTTGCGTAAGTGCTCTGCTTTGAGATATACATGCAAGGGTTTCGTTATATTTCATTCACAGAGAATCATTTGGAAGCATACGTTTGTGTACATCCAGTGTGTTAGCTGTCACAGTTCACTGCTAAGTATTTTATGGATATATAATAGTTTAATAGGTCTGAGTAGTTTAATGTCATGGTACAATTGCATTCTGATTCAAAAAGGAATCATTCTGTGAATATTTATTGCTGTGTTTGAGTAGTTTCTAGAGAATGACAGTACAAATGTACTCCAGTTGTCATTATTAATTGCTGAATGAACCACTTTTCTGAATCAGAATATTTAGCTTGTCTTCAAATAGACAGACACAACAAAAGGTGGAC